TTGTTTTCTAAACCATACTGTACGTTATGCGTTATTTAGAAAGTGCCATCCTTCGGAATGTCACAAAGGGTAGTACGTTCGTTATAGTTTTATTTGCGTAAATCATGATTTCATAAATTAACGTTTCAAAGTTGTATGGATCTGTCAATGGGGCGAATTTAGTCTGAAAGTAAAACTGCGAATTATACTAATGAATTTTACGATTTATTTTATTAACTATTAGGCGCAAAGATGAAAAGTTTGAATACCAACTAATTGATTTCATGCAAATCAGAAAAATCAAATTAGCGTTTTATTCATTTTAGATGTATTTAGGTGCCAGTCTGATTACTTACGTGGACTTATCTTAGCGATATAGTGAATGTTGTCAATCGCAACCGCGGATGATGATCCGGTCGGGATTTCTGCTTCGAACATAATCTAAAAAATTTAATTAATTTCGCATTTAAAAAAAATATGATTAAAACAACGCCTGTTGCGTTCGACAAAGTAACATATGTACGGTCAGTACATTCAGATACGATGAGACGTATGTCAAATGCGGCATCAATGAGTTTACAAACAAACCTATGTAAATTGGCTCAGTTGTTAACAGATGCAGTTGACTGGAAAACAACTAGGTAGTGAGACGTGGGCGGCAGTGAGAGAGGACCATGTTGGAGCGTGTGATTTGTGCGAAAGCAAGACCCTGCATGTAATTACCAGCCAAGGGATAGCACATTTTGCAGGGACAGTACCACGTGTGGAACACTGTGGTAAGGGCACATGAATTGGCTCTGACTATTCAAGAACCGCATTAAAACGTCAGTTAAGTTTGATGAAAACTTCTGCATTTGAAGCGGAGGCTATCTGACAGATGATAAAGAAAAGTTGGTGATGTGTGATGCGTACATCATTGTTGGACGAGGCTCGACAACCACAACGGTGAGTCATCATTTTCATATGTGTAGGTTTCGTCACATCGAACACCCTCACGGAAGGTTGCTATGCAGTGCTCAAGGTTGTATATGGTTTTCTACGACAAGCCATTCATTTCCGGTGTTGGGAGGAACTCTCTCAGCTTTATAGGCTTTACTAATAGTCCCTAACCGAACTTTTCCCAATGGCATAGTCCGTTCGGACTCTATTTCAAGGCTGTAATGCAGACGAGCTTATTGGTTTTCAATCTGCCTCTTGACCAACTGTCACGTGGCTTTGCAAGGGTGGCTAGTTCATTTAAATTGGCTTTTGATGGATTCAAACTCACATGCAGTATCGCTCTGAATGCGCAATCAAATGTATTTCCTTAGTCAGCTTTTACTGCAGCCGGAAAGAAGACCCAAAAGGTTCAAGCGAATGTGGCAGTGATTAACATTTAATATGGGTTTGTTCCAGATTGAAATCTATGATTCCTTTTATACAGGGACTACTCGTTGTTTTCAATCGTAATCGCCCTTTGTTACCCTCGCAGAAACAATAACAAGCTAAGGCGAGGAGCAAGGCACAATTTCGGAGGCGACTGTAAACTAAGTATTCATGCTGTCCTTTGAAGTCGTAATCCACCCCATCCATATGTCTGAACTGAAACTGAGTCGCCGTCCATCTCATGCCGGTAGTACCTCGATTTTACCGCATTTTCTCTGTGACTACCCTTAACCTATTTGGACTGAGCAGTAAATCGTTTCATTCCATGCTAGCATGGACGAATTTCTACTCATAAATGACACACCCACTGCTAGACTGTACTGCTCATTTATGTAGTCGAAATCGTTTTCCCCTTCTCGATTCTCAGCTCTTACCGTCTTTGCTCTGTAACAGCGATTATGACTTAGCAGAAGGAACGGCATATTAGTCGGCATATGTATGG